CGTAATTGTTGACTTTTGGTGAATAGTGTTAACTTTTTAACTTTTTGAGTAACTTTTTGACTTTTTAACTTTTTTGAAAGTACCCAAACTTGGCCTAAAACTCTTTATTCCAAACCTAATTCAAAAATTACATGGACTGAAAATCTTAATCCAGTCTAGCCCTATTCCCAAACCTTATAAATATCAAACCGGTTTGGTGGGCCATTGAGCTCATGGCCACCCCTTTGATAGACCAAAAAATAATATATGAGGTTGGGTTAACTTGGGCAAATTAAGCGAGCTATGACCATTTCTAATGGTTTATCAAATAGATCATCAAATTTAAATTTGATGAAAAAGTTTACTTTTTGTTGCTTCAACTGTTCATCAAATAGATTATTAAATTTAGAATTTTTCAAATCTTTTATCAAACCGAGGATAGATGTGTCTTTCATCAAATCACTGTTCATTATCGTTGGATTTTTACCACCGAATGTCTTTTCAGATGTCCACCTCAAGGCAAAAATTTGTGAAAGATTTTCATTGGCCGGTCAACCGGCCATACATTCGCCCGGTCAACTAGTGGTTAACTCTGTTGGAGCACTTGATATCAAAGAAATTTTTTGTTCAAATTTAATGAAGAAAAGATGAATCATTGGAGATGCCTTAATTGGTGAATGCCACCCTATTCTTGAAGAAAAAGTATATTAGAATCAAAATTTCTCAATCACCGAAATCTAATAGGATAAATTATATTAAAATTTAAAATTATGATTTATTTGTATTTTATCTCTTTAAATTTTAAAATCAAGTAATTAATCCCTCAAAGTATTATTTTATTACAATTAACATTTTTGTTTGGATTCTTTTAGAAATTTATAGAAAATTAGATTATGTATAAAGCATATGACACAACAATTGAATTTTTAGGATAATAATACCCATTATTGGTTGTTTTAGGATAATAAACTTTTATCTGATAATTTCATTAGCACTTTTTCTCTTATCTTAGTGGCCAAGTGCAAATGGGATTACCATATAAGAGTATTACTGTATTAAAAATTTAATAAATTTGTCATGTGTCTTACACATGATCTAGTTTTCTGTAAATTTTTAACAGAGTCATAACAAAAAGGGTTAATAAAAAATAAGATAATATTTTGAGGAGTAAATTATTGAGTTTTTGAAATTTAAAAAGACAAAACCCAAATGAGTCATAATTTAAGAATGTTTTATTATAATTTATCAATTTAATAATATGAACCGCATGAATCAAAATATTTATATTAATAATTTCGATGATTGACGTATTGTTAATTCTAAAATTGTAAAAACAATAACATTATAAATTCAGACTCGTGAATCTAAAATTTATTTAACAAAAAAAATTAATAATTTAAATTTATTTTATTCATAGACCCTACAAACATATTCAAAAACAAATTATAAGTCGATGAAGAGTGCCTTCATAGCAATTTTTTTTTATAGTAAAATGGATGATGCCGCCGACCATCTAAGTCAAACATGCTTGCCGTTCGGCGACCTCAGCGCGGTTGTCTCTCTGGCCCATGCAATTCCAATTTACAAGAATTTTTCTTTTTTATTTTCAATTTTTTTTTTCCCATTTATACATAACCATCTTGCTTTTTCTTTACGTCTTTTATCACCACCCCATAAATATCAATTAAATATTTCACCATCACTACATAGACACCTAATAATACAAGCAAAAAATATATATATTATTAAATATAAAAGTTAATTACACTAAGACCCTTATCTATTAGCAAATATCAATTTTCTCCTTATATATGAATTGTACATATTGAGTAGTAGGGGTGTCCGTGGTTCGGTTTGGGACAGTTTACGGTTCGGTTTGGACTCGCTTGCATCTATGCGGTTTGGGAAAAATTCAACCCGCAACCGCCCGCAATACGGTTTGCGGTTTATGCGGATAGGGTTCGCGGATGTGCGGGCGGTTTGCGGATTGAAATTTTTTTTCAAATTTTTTTTTTTAAACCTTTTTTTTCTCCCATTTTTGAATAGATTCAGATTTCAGATTTAATAAAATTAACATACACAATTAATAACATACAAAATTAACAGAGTTTGTGCTGAAAGTTCATATTTTCACACACAGCTACTAACAAATTCATTTTCGCAGAAATGGTAACAGGGCACTCGATAGAGTAAGTATTAACAGACAAGTGCAGATATAAACAAATTCAACTAAGTATAGATATAACAGACAAGTATTAACAGACAAGTATTAACTGGGTAAGTATTATTAACAAATTCATTTCAAGTACAGATATAAAAAAATAAAGATTAATCCAATGCAACAGTTCCACTCGATAGAGCAAGTATAACAGACAAAATGGAAAGGAAAACAAAAATATGAAAATACATAAAGCATTCAAAATTCAAAACCCAAAACTGACTCTGCTTGGTTGCCGAGAGACCAAAGGAAAAGGAAAGAAAAAGAAAAAAGGGGAAATGGACAACCCACATTACGCATTCTTTTTCAGTTACCAAAACCCAAACAAAACATCAACTCATCATTACCAAATAACTAAATAAATAACCAACCAACTACTAATCAATTTGTTTTTTCTTTCTTACATTTTCTTCATTTCTTAATGGCATTTCAATATCCCAGAATCATTTTCCGTTTTCTTTATTTTTTTTTTCTCGGCAACCAAACACAGATTCAACAAATTCCTTAAGAACAAACACACATCATAGAGTGATCGGTGTAGAATAAACAGATCAGATCAGATTCCAAAACAAAACAAACACACAGAGAGAGACTGATGAGATGAGAGAGGGAGGGAGACAGATCATATCAGAGAGATATCTGATATATATATATATATATAAAACAAAAAAAATCAACGATCGGGGCGAGAAAGAGAGAGACAGAGATTGAGAGAGAGTTTATCTGTGAGTAGATCGGCGGTGCGATGAGATGAACAACGAGAGAGTGAGAGAGTGATCGATCGGTGTATGAAGATGAACAAGAACAACCAACGAGAGAAGAGAGTGAGAGAGAGAGACAGTGATGAGATGAACATGTATGAGACTGAGAGAGTGAGGGACACGGTTTAGGGTTTTTTGTTTTGTTTGTAATAGATTAGATGAGATGGGTGGGTGAGATGGTGAGAGATGGACGGTTAGATTTGAAAGGGGGGAAGAAAAAAAAATTTAATTAATTTAATGCGGGTGGGTTGGGCGGGTGCAGTTCAAACCCGTAACCCGCTCGAACCCGAAATTTATATAAAATCCAACCTGCACCCTACCCTAATGTGTTTGCGAAACCGCCCACGCGCGTGCGGTTCGGTTTGGGTAGGGCGGTTTGGGCGGGTCGGATAACCCTATGCTCAGCCCTATGTGTATGAGTAGGGGATCTGGATTAGGGGTGGTGGCTTGCCTAGTATATATAGCTTGATATTTTTAGAATTTAAAAGAATTATTTTGTCCATACAGCTGGGCTGACATTTTGTGCCCATTTAATATCCGGGCTGGGCTTAAGATAAAAAAGTTTATCTTAGCCCAACTAATTTGCTCATTTATAAAATGTTAATTATGATTTTATATTATTCTATAGTTACAAAATAAAGTAAAAATAATATGAAAGACAAATATATATACTTTTTCTAAGGCTTAAATTAACATATCTATTAAAAAATATATTTATTTTACTACTGAATTTTGTTAACATTTCAAATTCAAATAATAAATAAAAGGATTTAAATAATTTAGCATCCATTTAGGACAAATAAAAAATAAAAAATTAATAGTTCATGTCTATTGGTTAAGTTTTCGGATTTGGTATTTGAAATTTTTTTAAGGCCGGGCTTAATATGGCTAAATTGGATCCGATGTTGGGTTAAACCGAGTTTTGAAATGATACATATTTTCTTAATATACAGTGGAAGCCCAACTCGAACCCGGCCCTGCTCAAGGGTTGCCCACCCTTAATCTAGAGGAGTAAAAGTTATATATTTTTATAATTGAGAAAATTAAAAATATATAAGTTCATAAATAAAAGGTAAATGAGATTCACTAATAATTAAGGGATCTTTGAAATAAAAAGGGAAAATTTTTGATCCACTTTTGCATTCACAAGCAAACATCCTCCACTCTCTCTTTATAGCAGCCAGTTGTCTTGTTTTATGGTTTTCGCTCTCATCCCATGTAAATGGTTTTTTTTCTCTTGTCTTCTTTGTTTCTTACAAATCAAATCAGATCAGAGAGAGCAGGCGACTTTTGGTCTGGAAGGCACAAAGAACAAAGAGATACGAAAGTTTGAGTAATTCAAATTCACACCATTTTTGGGAATTTAAGGGCAGCTTTGAAATTAGAAAACTACACCACTAGAGTTGAAGCAAATAGCAAATAGCAAATAGCAAAAAGATAGAAGTTGACACATGCAAGACTCATGTATGATTTATCCTTGAGAATTTTTATAAATTCCGTGCACAAATTTTCTGAATAAATAATATTTCTTGATCAATAAAAATTCTTACATTGCGATTATTGATACCACATTGTTGAATTAATAGGAGATATAAGTTATTCATCTAATATTATTTACAATTTTTTTTTGACCGGTGTACCATATAGAACAACCAGTCTACATACATAAAACTAATCATAAAATCAATTATAACAATTATGACCACATATATAGATGGTATATTATACTATTTCACTTAGATTGTTCCACTTGAGTTGTATGTGGTTGGTATCAATCGATACATATTAGTATTTTAGATTTTTGATATAATTTTTTATTTATATTCAGCCTATATTATTTGATATAAATCATTATTTAATTATAATATAAATATCAATATCGTTATTTAAAATCACCACCTTTAGATTCTATAATTTATTATAGCCTGAAAGTAATTAATAAAAAAACAGCAAAAATTATTTAGTTTCTAAAACATTTCCCTAACCCTTATATATTTTCACCACAATCATAACAACCACCCTCCCAACACCAAGTTATCTCTCTCAACCCAACCAGAGACCTGACTCTTTTCAGTCTACTCTCTGAATTCTCCCCTCTCTCTCCCTCTCTCTCTCTCTCTCTCTCTCTCTCTCTAACATAACTCCCACCAAAGACCAAACCCTTTTCAGTTTCATCACTATATCTCCTCCAAAAACATAACCCAAACACACAAAATTTCAGAGAGAGAGAGATAACACAACACAAGAAAATCATGAACAGTTTTGATTCACAAAGACAAGAGTCCTTGGAGAGGAGGTGGCAAGAGAGACAGCTCTCAACCCTAGATCACCATCACCACCGTTCAGGATCATCAAGCTTCTATACAAAGCTTGTTGGTGGTGCAAGTACTCCATCATCATCACCATTCATCTCAAACCCTAATAATCTTCAGAGCTTTCCAGGTGGATTTGACGATGACTTGGTTTCTACGGTGGTTCCGCCGGTGACTGTGGTGCTGGAAGGCCGTTCGATCTGCCAGCGGATCAGTCTTCATAAGCATGCAAGCTACCATAGCCTAGCCAAGGCACTAAGGGAGATGTTTGTCGACGGTGGCGATGCCAGAGGAGTAACCACCTCAGATAACGATCTTGATCTATCCAATGCTGTTCCTGGTCACCTCATTGCTTATGAAGACATTGAAAATGATCTTCTTCTTGTTGGTGACCTTAATTGGAAGTAAGTTGTTGCCCTTATTTTATTAAGGTTTTCAAAAAAAAAAAATAATAATAATAATAAATTAAAATAGTATTTTCAATTTTTTTTTAATCAAATTTAGTATTATAAGGGTTCACAATGTCTTTTGTGTTAATTGGGGTGCTTCTGTTTCCATATCACATATTACCTCTCATAATTATCTCAGTTCACACACTTTTTTATTTGGATTTTAATTTTTGAAAATCAACTTTTGAATCTTTGGTTTGGAAGTTGATGATTGAGCCATTAGTTTTCTAAGTAATAGTTACATGTGTGTCTTACAGTATATGTTAATTTGGATTGGAAAGTTATTGTTGTTGTGCTCTAATTAATGCTTTTTGTGTGAACTCTCTCTCTCTCTCTCTCTCTCTCTCTCTCTCTCTCTATATATATATATATATATATGTAGGGATTTTGTGAGAGTTGCAAAGAGAATTAGGATACTACCAGTGAAGGCAAATTCAAGAAAGGGAAGAGCAGTTGCTTAGATTGCTGCTAGCTGTTGAGATTTTGGAGGATGTTGAGATTTAACACAAATCCTTTTGTATTGGGAACTTCATGAAGTGTGTGATTAAAGCAAACCTTGTTTTCTCTCATTGTCAAGTTCCAAAACTCTTTGCATGAATAAAAGGCTTTTTCTTATATTTGTTCCTAAATTCAAATCCTTTTCTTTCACTATATACATGTGTAAGAAATGATCAAATTTTTACACCAAATTCACTTTTCACACGATGTATCATTACTGCAACAACAAACGCCAAGTTTTTATCAAAAAATTTATCAAACACTCGTATGAATAAGGGCATGTTTGATTGGGTGGATTGGAGCATGGGATTGGGATTATTAATCCGTGGGCCCAATTATCCTATGTTTGTTTTAATATTTTGATTTAGGATTATTAATCTAATGGATAATTTATATTTGTTCCTAAATTCAAATCCTTTTCTTTCACTATATACATGTGTAAGAAATGATCAAATTTTTACACCAAATTCACTTTTCACATGATGTATCATTACTGCAACAACAAACGCCAAGTTTTTATCAAAAAATTTATCAAACACTCGTATGAATAAGAGCCTTACGAGTAGGTGAGCGATTTAGTAATTTCTTGTAATTTTGTTATATCCTCAACATTTTCTTACCGTAACAATAATACTAAAGACACCCACGAGAATCACACCAATATTAAGTGATTTCATAAATTTCTTAAGCACCGTTTGGAAAGTAAGATTTGAGGTTTTTTTTGGTCATTTTAGCTAAAAAAAGCAAAATAGGTTATTTTATTCGCAACAAACAAAACATCACATCTAACCCATAATTATTACACTATTCTCTCACAAAAAAAAATTAAAAAACTCTTCTCAAATCAAATGTTTTAATCCAAACTAAAAAAATCAAAAAAAACTAAAAAATTAAAAAACTAACACACTATAGTCTTAGTAATTTTATTGGTGTCCTAGCACTTTTCTTCCACTTTTTATGTTATGCAATGGTACAATATTGATAAGACATCATGTCAAATCATAAATAAATTTGATATATAATTTGCACTTTTAATTTTTAAAATTTAATTTAATATATTTTAAATTAAATTTTAATTTAAACATTTCATTTAAATTCAATACTAAAATTAATAAATTTGTCATACGCATCAATCTTTTGAAATATATACATAATAAAAATGGATGATTATTTGAATGGAATGTTCAAATGAAATTAGATTAAAATAGGCCTTAATAGATTAAAATAATTAAAAAATTAAAAAGTCACTACAATATATTACATCATAATTCTTTTTATTTTTTGTACTTTTTTTATATAAAAAGTTAATTAAAATAATTAATTCTCAAATAACTCCCGAGACTAAAAAAATTTAAACCAACCTATAATGATTAAAAGTATAATTATCCACACACACAAAAATTATCAGTAGAAAAAGATTTTCCTAAGTCTACAATAGAGACTTAAGTGCCCAATGTCAAGATTGAGAATGTGAGATGGAAATTGAAAGTGTATATTATGGTTTATGTATACAATAAATTTCAATTATACATTAATATTTTTGAGTTTATAATATTCTCTGTTTTTCCAATAGAAAAAAATTACAAGATTTATTACTTCAAAATTTTGATAAAAAAATTTCACCATCTAAACAAGAGGGAAGAAGAAAATAGAGTTACTTTCATCTTGCTATAGGATATGAAATGAAAAGATTGATTTCACAATTGGATCATTTGTCAAACAAATAATAGATGTCATTTACTGTACGGATGGTTTAGGGACTTCATTTGTCAAAGGATTGAGACACCAGAATTATAGAACGATTGTGACCCACCATAATCTTAAGTAATAAGAAAGTATAATTTTAAGGGATTGGCTTCTTTCCCGTTAAAAATTGAACTGAATCAGATAGTTCATGTCTCTAACAGATAAGAATCATTTAAATAGAAGATTTTTGTCGGTAAGAATCTTTAAAAATATTCTTAAATTTTTACTGGTAAGTGTTTTCCGTTTAATGATTCTTATCGGTTAGAAAATCTCAACTATCTGATCCAATTCAATTTTCAATTGGAGGCAAGCCAAATCCTAATTTTAAATAGTAGTATACGAAGATAAATCATATTGACCGTTGTGTAATGTTAGAAATATTAAGTAATATCTATTGAGAATTGGATTATATGGTTCTAATTTTTTGAAATTTTGTTAACTGCGAAAATGAGTTTTATAGCAATTAAACCGCTATATATCGACTCTGAAATGGTCATATAAACTATAAATTAATTATGAATCGGTACATATTAGTAATTGAACAATACATATTTGATTTTCATTCTAACTAGTATAACGAGATGTAATGGTATGGAAAGGACAAAAATCTTATATGCATTGCCTGATACCATATGGTTAATATGTAAAACTATATACAAGAAACTTGACTTATTTGGGATATGATTTTTTTATATGCAATGGAGTTTTTGGATTGTTTTGGAATTGACTTCTTAGTAAGTTTTTAAATTTTTTATGAAAAGATATGTAAAAAATTAGAGACAATAATTGATTTTTGGGTGAACCGTTTGGTTCTCATTTTTTTCTTATATATGGACCCAAAGGTCCCATTTTAATGTGAATTACATAAGGGACTAAGTATAAACGCTCGTGTGTTATGTGTTGTGGGGGGTCCCATTTTAATGTGAATTACATAAGGGACTAAGTATAAACGCTCGTGTGTTATGTGTTGTGGGGGCAAATGTGGGTTTTTTTTTTTTTTTTTCTCATAATATTGAAATTATTAAACGTAATACTTTAAAAAAACTCCTTAATGTACTTTTTCTAAACGTAATACTCTAATGTAACACACTAAAAAATTCCTTAATGTACTCTTCTTAAACGTAACAATGTAACATTCTAAAAAAAAAAATTCAGTATACTTTTTCCAAACGTAGCGCTCTAATATAATACTCAAAAAACGTAGCACTCCAATGCAACACACTAAAAAGCTTATTACTGTACTTTTCTCAAATGTAACACTCCAATCAATGTAACACACAAAAACACCTTAATGTATTTTTTCAAAACGTAACACTCTAATATAATATTTCAATGTAACATTAAAAAACTACACTAAGGAAAATGTAGATTTCTACGCTTGACAATCACCACTTTAGCCACCAATCTCCTCTAAAAAGAATCTTTTACATCTCATATTTTCATTCCTATCCCAAAACCAAATTAGAAAATTGAAAAAATGAATCACAAAAAGACATTCACTTAAACTCAAATGGCACCAAATCAAATAAATATAATTTTCTAAAATAAAAATGACTAATTGATTTATAAAAAAAAACTCTTAAGATTAAATGAATCAACATTTCCCTATATAGGATTAATGAATAAATTTTTCTAACTTTTTTTAATGACTTTTTAAATTTTTAACTAACATGTTGCCTTTCCAAAATAAGCTTTCTTACATATTTTGTACTTACCTTTTACATCAATAAATTTAATTTTACCCATAAAAAAAATAAAAAAATAGTCGCTCATCTGGAAAGAGTTTGAAAAAAAGAAAAAGGATTAATAGATTTTTGTTCACAAAATATGTTATTTATATCATTTTAATCTCTATTATGAAGTATTTAAATTATATCAATTTAATCCATAATGTATCAAAAGTATTTTAATTTGATTATCCAATCCAAGTCTGTTTGGACATGTAAAGTCATTGATAAATGTGAACTCACTTAAAAAATTACAGCATCTCTAAAATATGTGATTTGTGTTATTAATATAAAAATTCACTTAAAAAAATTAGATTTTTTATTTTAAAATATGTAATATGTATCATTTTGGTCTCTAAAATTATACATTTAGATTTGAATTTAACTATAATTACAAGACTAAATTAAAATACTTTTTATATATTAAATTAAATTAATAGAATTTAAATATTAAAGATTAAAATAATTATAAATTAAAAATATAACTATCTCTTTCGAAAATTATTTTCATTCAATCCGATGATATCTTTGATCGGTGGAGAAACTTGTAGAAAGGTAATAAAAAAATGAGCACTCCCTTTTTTGTCTTTGGAATTTAGTGTTATAGCAGTCAAGATTCATGAATTATAACTCCATATTACATCATCTTTTTTTCCTTTCCTTTTTTAAATTCAGGATCTAGAATTTACGTAAATTTGGATGCTTTTGAGCAATTCAACGGAGAACTATAGCCAGATTGGGAAATGAGAAAAAAATAATCAGCATATGAAAGGGTTAAGTGACATTTATATTCTTATAATCTTTTATTTACACCTAATTATAGAATCATTTGCACCCATTATGTATTGATATATATTTTTTTCCTCTTCTCCCACCAACATAAAATTTTCTTAAAATTCAATTTGATCAAATACTCTTTTATTGGTTTTGTTAGCTCTTATTAGCTGTTATCTATTCTTACTATACTTATAATTCTTGTATTCTTGTACACTTAGGTTTCTTGGCCTATATATACATGCTTCTCCTATTGTAGTGATTGATTGATTATATACAATACATATTATTTTTTTTCTCTCTACTATTCTAACATGGTATCAAAGCCTAGGGTTTTCTCCTAGCCTACTCTTCTTCTTCATCATTTTTTTTTTCTTTCTTTCCTGTCTGGTAGATTGATTCCTTCTCGCGTTGGTTTTTGCATATCTTGTCCTTTCTTGTTTCAACGATTGGACTATACCAGCTTCTTCGTCTCTGCAAAACGAAGCCAACGCCATCAGAATCATCTCCATCCACCGCCACACACGCCATCAGAATCATCTCTACGTGTTGTGCCATTTCCTACGCGTCTCCACGTGCCTCCGCTTCTGTCTCCCGCTATCTTGCACCATGGCCTCATCTGCTAACGTGAGCCGCATGTTCTAACGTCAGCCCTGGTTGACCATGCGTCGCTGCTGCCTTTTTGCTATCGTGCACTATGCGCACCTCTGCAAACGTGTGCTGCACATTTCTGATTTTTGTTGATGATTTTTCTCGTTATACTTGGTTTTTGCTTCTCAAAAATCGATCTGAACTTAAACAGATTTATTATGATTTCTCTGCCATGGTCCATACTCAGTTTTCTCGTACTATTTGTCTTTCGTTCGGTTA